AATAATAATAATAATAATAATAATAATAATAATAACAATAATGATAATAATAATAACAACAACAACAACAATAACAACAATAATAGCAAAACCTCTCTGCGGTCATAACTGGGAAGTAATTGTGACTCCCCATGCGTGCAGTCATCACATCTTTCAGCCTCTTTACTATAATCACGAGCTATCTACCAAAGTAATTGAAGTAAAAGTCAGGTTGTATTCAGCCTCCCCCCCCCCTTTGCACGCCCCCTCCCATTTCGAACTGCTTGACCTTGTGCGCAGTAGCCTGGGTCGCTATGGGGGTCACAGTGGGACTGCAGCTCGGTCTCCCAGAAATAGGAAATATCACGCTGTGATCCCCAACACTAGCAAGGATTGGGAAGGGGAGTGGCTCAGAAGGGGGGAGAGGGTAAATCTTTACTTTTACCATTTCTATTTTCCTTATGGTGCAGTGAAACACCACGTTAGAAACAATTTAGTCCACTTAGAATGCAGGGCACTAGATTCCATGCGGTCACCGGGCTGAGAGCGAAACAATGTAGCCTACGTAGGGAAGAGAACACGACTTACTTTTGGCTCCCACAATTAAACTCTTATGGCGTCATCCAAACCTCCGCAATGGGTTGTTGGCGGGCGCTCTGGTGTGGTTTGCTTTTTCTTTCCAACAACACATCAGCTGCCGTTCTTATTCACCCCCCCCCCCCCTTTTTTTTTTACTGTGTATGTTAACCTCTTGTAACACTTCCAGTTTTCGGCACTTTATGACCTAATTGTGTTGCAAGTGCCGTAAAACTCTTATTAAAACTCAACTTTAACAAACCCCGTAAGCTGGCTAAGTTTATGGTCTTCTTGCTGTACAGCTGTAGGAAATTGTCTTTCCTTTTTGTTGTTTTTATCGTGGAATGTTTCTGTTTTCGTTAAGTTGACATAACTGGTGACAGTGAAGATTAAGGCTTTCGTCTTGCGCTTTAAAAAACGTGCTTCAGTACCTTCGTCTTTTTGCTTGTAGTTACTAAGGCCCTGGGCTGACAAGATCGGAACAGCTCCCTTCCTAAATGAAGTTGTTGGGGGGTTTTTTATAGTAGAGGGTTTTACGGCGCTCGCAACTGCATAAGGTCATATGAGCGCCAAGGGGTGGGTGTAACAGAGAAGTCTTTACAGGGAATCAGACCCACTCTGCACACCTCTCTA